CCATTGAAGATGATGTTGACGACATGGGCGCTGATAGCTGCGATGACAGTGATGGTGTAGATGAGGACGATTAAAGTTATGAAAACATCGTAAGTATTTTATCACACACAAACAAAGGCCTAAGGTACTACTTGTCAAAAAAATCTCCGCTTACAATTATGTAGCGTATTATTGTTGTGTGAGGACATAATGACATTCTTAACCAAACAAAAATCACAAAATGCTACCTCATATGTTAAAAGAAAACATTGATAAACTTTTTGGCAAGATTTGGAGGAAGTAGATTGAAATTGGGAATAATAATAATATTTTCAATATTCAGCCTCGCTTTCGTGTTTCAAGTCACGTGATCAAACTATATGTGGATTAAAGTATATGAAAGCAAAGAACACATCTAGAATTACATTCTGACCAGTTTTTGAAATAAAATATGTAAAACTAACTATAATAACGTAAATTTAAAAGGGTAGCCTCGTTTCCATGCTGACGTTCGATATAGCATACTTTAAATGCCCCTAAATCCCGTCGGTGCGGTTTTCAAAGGTGACGACAAGTTTTGTCATGTTCCCAAAGATCCCCTTTACACATTCAAACTAGTCGCTTGCTTTCATCATCGATTTCCCACGGGACTTTTATTTATGACATTTGCTTCCTGACTAGTCCCGGAACTGACCGGGATCGAGATCGAGTTGTTGTTTTTTGTTGTTGTTGTTGTTTTTTTTCGTGTTCGCGTTATTCATTTTATTCTTTTTGATAATCGGGAAAACATCGCACCACGCGATCGCTAAAAAAAAACAATTTCTTTAGTGAGTTTGATTTTTTTTCATTGTTTAATCAAAATCTATTGAATAAATTAGAACCGGAATGCAAATTTCCATTGAGTCAGAAAGTGACGGGGTATTCTCCGCTCCGGTTGTTGTGAATGAGATGGCTTCGCGAACATGACTCAAGCCCAGAGGATAGTCAGATTTTACAAAGAATATATTTTTTTATTTAATTAGATGTCAAGTACAAATCGAAAGGTAAATTATAAACAACAATTAGTACAAACTTCCTCTTTGGTGAAGCGCATTGCCTAGCAACAGCAATGCACAAGATTTGAACTTGATAAAACGTGAAAATATTTTTCGGRCAAATCAGTTGAGGTATGAACCGTTTTTAAAAACTACCACTGAAAACAACAAATCCATCTCAAGGTAAGTCGTGTGCAACCAGATTGAAAACAGGTTGGCAATATAGTCAATCGACGGTATTGGCAAAAAGGTGCCGATTGTTGGATCTCCTTGTTTTTTAAAAGCGTTAACTTTTGATGCACATAATCTATTAACGACAACTCTTAAATCTTTGAATTTTTGTTCAAGTTTGTCTTTTATCTTCATTCAAAAACACTGAGGTTTTGAATAGACGCGATGATGTTTGGAGTAACAATAATCCTTCTACTGTTTGCTTCAAATCTTCCTGATTTTGCTCAAGGTATAGTAAACCACACCATAAAGATTAATTGTTTTGTCTTCAATGCATGCGGAGTGAACAACAAACATTTAACAATAAGGAGTTATTATAACTACTTTTTAGTAGGCTACAGCAACGAATTCCAAGTAAATTTTTCAGTTTAACCCTTGAACATTTTAATCTCTGACACTAACTGACTTGTAATACCGATGTCTCGGTGACTGATCCCTATATATGATGAAGATAAAAACCTGCGCCCGACCCTCAAAAACAACACCGATGTGATTCCATATACCTACTTAAAGTTACAGATCAGCAAATCAAAAATTAGAAGAGAAAACGGACGGGAATTAAGCTAGTGTGAGCCTAGTGGGTTGGTGTTTTCTCATGAAGTCGTTTGTGCCGATAAAAAAATAAATTGTTTTCTCTGTCAAGGTGTATGGCGTGACCTAACGGCTGGTAATGGAATCTGGAAAGATACTGGCAACTCGTGGAGTTTCAGTATGCCGTTAAATGATGCCAAATGGCACTACGGCCCTGCACGAATTTGGACGACACCTGTTAATTCGGACTACTATGGTAAGCATAGCTGCCTGAAAGATCGATGTACTGAGTGACATTGATCATGAAGAATTTTGATGATTAATGTTTTTTTTTCATTCTAATAACTTAGAAATAACAAGCAAAATATTGACATCTCGTTCAGCAAAATATGATTGTGGACACTGTAGTGTCTTTGCATTACATTATAGTTTCATTTGGTATTCCTGTGTAATATTGGGTTACCTGTGTAATATGCAAATTTGGTTTGTGTGTGTATTAAACATGGCGACCAGAGAGAAACACTCGTAGTAAGGTTTCTATCCAGTTTAATCCGTATTAATCCGT